CGAGTACTGGTCTGGCACTTTGGGGATTTTCTCATGATTAGACTAGGATTGTGAGGTTTGGGGGGGAAGGAAGGTCACAGGGGCAAAGTACTAGTTTTCATCACATCATATCAAAGGTACATCATATCAAAGGTACATATCAAAGGTACTATCAACACGACTTGTTGATGTTGACCTTGACCACCTGGGTGAGGTAGTGCTTGTCAGAGTTGTCCACTGTAAAGTTTCTCTCCCACTCCCCCTTCCATACTGTCCCCTCTGGAAGGAGGTCACCAAGCACAGCCCAAACTTAAGGAGTGGGGAGTGATGCCCCACTCCTTTGAGTTGCCTACTCTTCGCAGGTCACATTGAAGAAGAAGGAGCCAGGGAGCAGGGAACTCTCAGCAATCTGAGAAAAAGGGGTTGAAGACTGGATTCATGTGGTGAGAGAAGGGATGACTAAGGGATGTGAGATTGGACAGAATTTCGTGGGAGATGAAAGAGAGGGTGGGATCAGGATGGCTGCACGTCTCCAAGCGTCAGTGATCAGGGGATCGTTTGGGTGTAAAGAGCACTGCATTTGTTTATTGGCAACTCTCTGTTTCGTGGCTGTGTCACCTTGGGTGAGTCACTCTGTTCCTCCGAGTCTCAGTTTGCCCATTTGTAAAACGTTCTTGACAGTTGCTGCTCTTCCTACCTTGTTGGGCTCTCATGAGAGTAATAAGATATCTCTCATGAGATAATGCAGATGGAAGGGCTTTGAAAGCCATTAAGCCTGTGTGGTTTCAAAGGCTGGCGAAGGGAGTGACGGTACTAATGACAGGGACGCGTACTTGGGAGGGGGGTTTATTACCTGAGAGATTCTGAATAACTCAGATAACCCGGGGCAAGGTATAACTCATACCGAGGATGCTGTCATAGGCTGTGATAGTCACCTGCTAAGGAGATTTTTATTTCAAATATGTTTTCTCAGATATTCTGATTCTGCTGGTCTAGTTGCATGGTCTGTCCCTCAGAAGGAAAGAACTTGGGTAAGACGAGGCTGGTTCTGGAATATTAGGAGGGGCTCCACCTAATCTTTTCAGCTTTCCTCTTACAGCCTTTAATGTCCTCTGCTTGGGGGCACTGAAGGTAACAGCTTTCCTTAATGATCTCAACCCCCCCACCCCCCCCACACACAGTCTCATCACCTGCGATCTCTAATACGCATTTCCAAAGTAACACATCCAAAATGGAACTTTGGTTCTGTTCTGTGCTGGAGTCCCAGGGATGAGGCTAACTTGCTTTACTTGACTGTGAAACTCCTCAGTTAGCCTTGCAATAGCCTGTTTTAACTGAGTCTCCAGAATCCCTCCAAACTGGATATTATGCAGTGGACGAATCCCTTTACCTTTTCAGGCAAGTAAATTCTTGGCTCTTCATATACATTTCCTCACCATTCAGGAGATACGCAGCCATGCTTTTGGTTTCTCATCGTATTATTCTTATTTTAGCGACAAGCTGACGAGCCATGGAAGATTTTAACCATGTCTGCCCAAGTTCCGGGGTAAATCACTGACGACTTGGTACAGCAGAAGAAACTTGGGAAGCCCGAGTGCTGAGTGTACCTCTGTCAATAATTTTGCCGCTGACTTTGGGCACAAGGAGCGTAAGCTCTCTGCCCCTCATTTTCCCTATCGGTAGAATACGGAGGGACCACCCAGGCTCTGAAGGATGGAGCAATCAAGTAAAAATTAGCAGCAGAGCTAGTTGGCAAATAAGAGGAGTACAGAGTTAATGTCATTTTTTATGTTGCAAGGGGCTCAGCACATTTCAAAAACGTAGGCTTGAGCCAAAGAATATACATTTGGTATTAACCAAACTGCCAAAGGAAGTTATGTAAAGGAAACCTCTTTATTGATCTTTAAAAAGCAGAGAGATTCTTTTGTCTCTACTGATTTGAGTTGGGATGAAATAAATACTGAGTCTCTTTTGGTCTTTGGATTCTGTCTTCCAACAAGCAGAGCCCATTTCTTCACAAGTAGGTGGTTCTGATAAGCGTCTGCCTGGGCTGATGTATGATGGAAAGGCAAGGAAACGTGATATAGTCTCTGGTCATCTCTGGGTGAAAATAAAGGTCATCTCTGGGCATGGAGGATTTCGCAGTGTAATATATATTTCCAAAGGGAAATGCCTGCAAAATGCAGATGCTGAGCCCAGTTCTGACGTCTGTGACTGGTGCCAGCATAGGCATTGTCACCTGTGTTGAGGGCAAAGGGAAGAGCCAAGAAGTGAAAGGATATCTTCCTTCCCTCACCATTACTCAGCATAGCTGGCTTGCTTAGCTATAAAAAATGCAAGTGTCCAGAGAAACCGCAGTGCAATTTCTCATCCAAAAATGCCTTCTCCCTCACAGTCAAGAGATCCACTGTGTTCTAATATTGTTTCTGAGGTGGATGGTCTCGTGGGTTACTTTTCTTCACTCTAACTCTTCTCTGTAACTTGCTTAACAGTATTGTCTGAATTCTAAGGGGACAGTAGTTCTTAAACTGTAGTATGCATAAGAATCACCTGAGGAGCTTACGAAAATAACAGGTCCCCGACTCGGACCCCTGGTTCAGTGGGCTGAGGAATCTGCGTATTCAGTACATGGCACAGGGAGTTCTGATATAGGGGATCAGCAGAGCCACCTTGAGGATTACCACCTGGGTGCCACGCTCAGCTAGCAATATATTACCGTACACAGTGCATAAGCCTTTATAAACCAAGTCCTAGTTGCTGCTTTTAGAGCAGCACTGAGCCTGGCTAAATAAATGATTGCCTGACTTAACAACAATCATCGCTGGACTTATACTAATTTCTGATTTCTAAATTTCTGATTTAGACAAGAGGAGCATGAGCTTGGGAGTCAGAAAGCCCTGGGTGCAGATCTTTGAGCCTCCACTTACCGTTACCTGAGAAGGCTGCTCAGCTTCTCTGAGGCTTGATTTGCTCAGCTGTCAAGGGGGAACAGTATTCCCCAAGTCACTGAGGGAGGGGTGATGAGGATGAAATTAAATGACTTATATGTGAGCACCTAGCACCGTGCCTGGCGCTTAGCAGACAGATGCTCCGTAAATGCTATTTTCCTCCATTCTTATAGGAAGCAGGAGGTTGAAACAAACAAACGAAAGACCTTACATAAAGCAGATATTGTTAAGGGAGAGGTTTTTTTTAATGCCCAGGTGAATAGATTTTTGGCCTTGTTACACATCATTTTAAAAGTCAGTGGTTGTTTAGAGATCTTGGAAGGAAGCCCCTTCTTAATTCCTTTAGATAGTACTGACTTCTGTTGTGAATATGGGTTTCCAAGAGAGATCCCAGCAGGCAGATAAGGAAATGCAGGGGTATCACGATGTTCATACCTTTGCCGAACACTTTGGGGTCCAGTGCAGAGAGTTCAGGTCAGGAGTTTAACCCGAAACTACACCTGCTCCTGGTCTAAATCTCACAAGGAGAACCTTGTTTCTGAGAATTTAACTAGTAATGGATTAATTGGACTGTCTTATTCAAACTCTTTCCAGGCGAAATGAGAACATTACAGTGGTCTGAGGGAAACAATGCACTATTATACTCGTGGTATACAGAGAGCTCCTTGCTGTGAGGTGCTTTCTAAATTCAATTTCAGCAATACCTGCCCACACCCCCCTCCCCCGGTCCAACCTGGTTTTACCGTTTGAAAAAAGAAATCATCTTTGTTCTTTGTGTTGGTTGATTAATTTTAGGTTCACTGTTCTTATCCCATATCACGCTCATGTAGGTACTTATGTAATACATTTCTGTATATCACACGGTTCCTCCTTCTGAGGACCCAAAGCAGAAAAGGAATTTAATAGCACCGAACGCCTCGCTGCATTCTCTGGCCGGACAAACGGCAGGTTCAGTGAAGATCCTTGGGTAGCGTCGAGCAGGTGTCCCCTTGCTGCCTCTACTCTCCTGGTCCTTTGTAAGAGGAGCCTGTAATCCTATTCCTGGGGCACGGCAGTCACAATAACTTCTGTTCTCTGAAGGCCACACTCTGGAAACTGGGAGAATAATCCCTGTAAGCCCCATCATATGATTTTAGAGCCTGGAAAGATCTTCGAAATCCGCTGATCCAATTCCCTTTGTTTTACAGGAGAGGAAACTGAGGTTCAGAGAAATCCATGTAGTTACTAATTTATTTATTTTTTATTATTATTTTTTTTTTGCGGTACGCTGGCCTCACTGTTGCGGCCTCTCCTGTTGTGGAGCACAGGCTCCGGATGCGCAGGCTCAGCGGCCATGGCTCACGGGCCCAGCCGCTCCGCGGCATGTGGGATCTTCCCGGACCGGGGCACGAACCCGTGTCCCCTGCATCGGCAGGCGGACTCTCAACCACTCAGGAACTGTGCACACAATAGGAGGCTCGTAATAGACATCCAACGGGTTGAGTTGCCAAATGAGAATCAGGCATGACTCTTTGGAGACGAGGAACTAGCCAGTGCCTGCTAACTAAGAAGGAAATAAATGCTAACTGAGCCCCTTTGGTGCACGAGTGTTCTGCTGTGTTCAGAGGAGCTGGGGAAAGAAGGAGAAGTAAAAACGGGGAGAAACACAAAAATACGAACTTTAATAAACGGTCCTCATTGTCAAGGATTACAGTCTGCAGTGAACTCCTGGCTGGAAGGCACTTTCTAAATCAAGATAGGGACGTACCGTACACTATTGAACCAAATAAGATCATATACTTAATGACCCAATTACCTAGTCCTGGAGAAGTCTGGGAGGAAGAGACAAGACTTCTGGCTGCCAGAGGAGCAAGCCCAGTGTTTTCCCCACCGGACTGTTAAAGCCACAGCTCTCTTATTGATCTGTGTGTCCCCGTAATTATGACATGGGGGCAGAGGCTCCACCGGTGCTTATTGAATCAATATGTGGCTCATGTGATACTGAAATTCTGGGTATATTTATGCGTGCCCACAATGACTGCTTTTGTAGCAATGCTTTCTACTCACGTGGATCTTTTTTTGTTTTTCTTTCAGTGGCCCACCCTCAGGACCCTCACCACCCGTCAGAGAAACCTGTCATTCACTGCCATAAATGTGGGGAGCTGTGCAAGGGTGAAGTGCTTCGGGTCCAGACCAAACATTTCCACATCAGATGTTTCACCTGCAAAGGTATGGACCCTCCAGCTTCCTGGCTGTGTGCCATGTCCTTGCCTTGGAGGCTGCCCCATCCCCTTAACTCCACACCAGTTCACCAGATGGTAAATGAATGTGCTCCCAGACCCTGGAATTGCTCACCTTCTCTAATTTGGGAATGGATTAAACTTAAGGGGGAGACTGAGCTCCCCCCACCCCCAAGACCAGCAGTACACTGTCTTTGGGTGTTCACTGAGGTGCCTGATCCTAGGAGGGGAGCCTAATTGTGGAAGAGCAATGAAAATGGAGTTTTGTGTTTTGTTTTCTTTTGTTTTTCTTTTTGGCTGTGCCACGCGGCATATGGGGTCGTAGTTCCCCAACCAGGGATCAAACCCATGACCCCTGCTATGGAAGCATGGAGTCTTAACCACTGGACTGCCAGAGAAGTCCCAAGTTTATATTTCTTTCTAAAAATATTAAAAAAAAATTTTTTATTTTGTTGAAGTATAGTTGATTTACAATGTTGTGTTAGTTTCTAGTGTACAGCAAAGTGATTCAGTTATACATATATGTACGTATTCTTTTTCATATTCTTTTCCATTCTGGTTTGTCACAGGCTATTGAATGTGGTTCCCTGTGCTATACTGTAGGACCTTGCTGTTTATCTGTACTTTATATTTCTTTTTCCCTGAGATGAGGGACTCCTACTTCAAAGTAACCATGTCCCAAAGCCATTTTTTAAAGGAGGACTGGAAAACTTTAAGATTGGGGTGCTAGGACACTGGCTTCTGTGCGTGCTTGTGTGTGTGTGTGTGTGTGTGTTGAGAAGTGAGAATTAAGCAAGAACGCTTGGAAGGCCTCCAAGCAGGAAAACACTTCCCATTTAAGAAGTGACCCATCTGTGGTTGATTTCTGTTAACAAGCCCCCTTTCTGGGGATGCAGCTCTTGGCATCTACGTATGAAATGTGCTGTCCTGTTATCCTGGAGCCAGGGCATGGCCAAGTGGCCAAGGAAGAAGCGAGTAGTTTCTGTGTGTTTATGTGAGAAATATGTTACTTGAGCTAAGGGCGTGTCTGGATAGCTCAGGCTGGGGTTCAGTGATGTTGGAAGAGGCGGAAGAGGGGCAAGGCTATGAGCCTGCTCTGTAGCTTTCCTCTGGGCTCTGCACGTGGTACCCACTCTCATTCCTGGAAACCGTGTTTCATTTTGAGCCCCTTAGGCTACAAAGGGTCAGCATTGCCATCTTAACCAGCTGTCCCCGGGGTCTCTCAATAAGCTCCAGGCTGCCTAGAGACCCTCAAATACATGATCAAAGGCGGCGGGCAAAAGCTTTTCTGGAGTCCACAGCTGTTTCTTTTACTGAGTGTAACCTTTTCAGGAAAAAGAGCACTGGCGTATAGCTCGGGTAAAAAGGTGGAGGGGAAGGAAGGGCGTGAGTTTGGCTCCCATTGAGCGTGACAGAGATGACAAAGGCTATAATGCGCATCATATAGAGAGAGAGTCTTTGATCCTCCTGGAAATCCCTATGAGCAAGTACGATAAATCCCCAGTTTTCAAATGACCCAAGTTGGTTATCAGGAAGCATCAGGTCACACCCAGGGTACTGACTGTGTCCGCACTCTGTGTGCCTTAAGTCCTGCCATTGCCACTAAAGCAGCTCTATGGTCTCAGGCAAGTGACCTCTCTGTGGCTCTGTGTCCTTATCTGTAAAAGAAAGAGACTAGACCACGTGATATTTAAATCACCCCAGGTCTGAAGTTTGCCAATTCTATATACACATAACCATATCTCTACATAATACAGAACCCAGAGGTACTGAATTAGAGCCTTTTAGGTAGCATGTCAGAAAAAAATATAACTTCTGCTTACATCCAGATTGGCTAACTTGGGGTCAGGCATTATATTTTGTTTTATTTTGTGCTCATAGATTTCCTGAGACATGGCTTAAGGAGTAGGTTTGATATGAAATAAACAGAAAAAAGTAAACAAGGGCAGCCCTGTATGTAGTTTATATTTCTAGTTGAAAGTACAAAGTGTTAGTCTCCGGGTGGTCACTGTTCAACACATCAAGATATTAGAAGACACATTCGTTTATCCCCCGGGAGGTAGAAGTTTCCATGCTTTTCTTCTAGTTTAAATCGAAGGACTGAATGTAAGTTATTTATGTTGGAAAGTTGTACCATATATACTTTGTTTCGTGCTATCAATATGTTCCTGAAAAGTTGAATTTTTTAATAAATTACATCATATTTTGAGAACACGTCATTCATAGGAATTATTTTTAGAGTAAACAAAATTTTACTAAAAAATTGTCATCAGTTCTTGTAAATTTGTATTTTCCCATACTTTATCGGTCAAGTCTGCTGTCTTATGTCTCCAACTTACTGGGATCATCCCTTTTTTTACTATCCAAAGAAAGTGTTTAAGCTCCCCATGTCTTATACTCTAGCAAGTTTATGGCTTTTCCCCAAGATTCTAGAGTAGTGTTGTCTAGTAGAAACATGATGCAAGCCACATACATGATTCTGAATTTTCTAATAGCTATATTAAAAAGGTATAACGGGACAGGTGCAGTTAACTTTCATAATATATTTTTTATTTGTCCTTACAGACCCCAAATAGTATCATTTCAACAAGTAATTAAAATAAAAATTATTGAGATATTTGACATTCTTTTTTTTTCATACTAGCTTACAGTGCATCTCAATTTGGACTAGTCAGTCACATTTCAACCATTCGATAGCCACAGGTAGTTAGTAGCTATAGTATTGGACAACACAGTTCTAGAGATTCCTCGAGGTTTACATTCTTGTGGTCCCCTTTTGCTCTAAATTCTTGCCACTCCCAACTTCTTGGTCTCCCCTTTATGAGTGCTGTGCCTTTCGCATGGCTTCACCCCATACTGGACACCATTTCTCTTCCTCCTTTTCCCAAAGCAGCTGTTTTCAGCAGAGTTTACTGAATGTCTGGGATAATGGAGGGAGTTATAGCACAGAATATACAACTGCCTAGTATTCTCAGGCTTTCTCTTTCCTTCCATCCTTCCTTCTTCCCTCCCTCCCTCCCTCCCTCCCTCCGTTCTTTCTTTCTTTCCTTCCTTCCTTCTTTCTATTAACTGGAAAAGTCTATTAATAGACTTTAATTTTTACAGCAATTTTACATTTACAGAAAAATTGAGCAGAAAGTACAGATGAGGGCCATTTCTCATACTTATTCAGAACCTCATCTGCTACCATCTTGGTAGGGCTTCCTCTCTCTACAAAGGCCCTTCTCCCCTCCATCCCAGGGACCCCAACTTCCTTTTCCCTCATTGTCAGATCAGGAGTCTAAATTACCTTAGAGTCTCTACGTTTTATAAGCTCATTAGGAGGGTTTCCCAGAGGAAACAAAAATCTTGAAGAATGCTGTCTTCGTCCTAACCTAAGTGGCCCAGACTGCAGCTAAGTCTTAAAACAACCGTTTTGTTTTCTTTCTGTTACATCTAAAGCAGAGGTGTCATTTTTACACAAATAACAAGTGTTGGCGAGGATGTGGAGAAAAGGGAACCCTCATGCACTGTTGGTGGGAATGTAAATTGGTGTAGCCACTATGGAGAACAGTATGGAGGTTCCTCAGAAAATAAAATATAGAACTACCATATGATTAAACTATTCCATTTCTGGGTATTTATCCAAAAAAAATGAAGACACTAATTCAAAATGATATATGCACCCCTATGTTCATTGCAGTGTTATTTACAATAACCAAGATATGGAAGCAACCTAAGTGCCCATCAATAGATGACTGGATAAAGAAGATGTGATATACAATGGATATTACCCAGTCACAGAAAAAGAATAAAATCTTGCCATCTGCAAAAGAATAGATGAATGGATCCAGAGGGTATTATGCTAAGTGAAATAAGTCAGACAGCAACAAATACTGTATGATTTCACTTATATGTGTAATCTAAAAAACAGAACAAATGAATAACCATAACAAAGCAGAAACAAGAGTCATAGATATAGAGAACAAACAGGTGGATGCCAGAGGGGAGGAGGAAGGTGTGGGAGAGAAATAGGTGAGGGAGATTAAGAGGCGCAAACTTCCAGCTGCAAAATAAATGAACCACTGGTGTGAAATGTACAGCATGGGGACTACAGTCAATATTTATGTAATACCTTTGTGTGGTGGCAGATTGTAACCAGACTTGTTGTGGTGATCGTTTTGAAATGTATAGAAATGTTAAATCACTGTGTTGTGTACCAGGAACTAACATAGTGTTGCAGGTCAATTATACTTCAAAAACAAACTCACAGAGAAACAGATCAGAACTGCGGTCCCCAGAGGCGGAGGTGGGAATTGGATGAAGGTGGTCAAAAGGTACAAACTCCCAGTTATATGATAAATAAGTACCAGAGATGTAATGTACGAAGTGATAAATATAATCAACACTGTTGTATGTTACATGTGAAAGTTAAGAGAGTAAAGCTTAAGTTTTCTTCACAAGGAAAAAGAAATCTTTTTTTCTATTTCTTTAATTCTGCATCTGTATGAGATGATGGATGTTCACTAAACTTACTGAGGTCATAATTTCATGGTGTATGTGAGTCAAATCGTTATGCTGTGCATCTTCAACTTATACAGAGCTGTATGTCAGTTATGTCTCAATAAAACTGGAAGGAAAAACAAAATAGAGATGTCATGTTCCGATTGTGAGCTAATGTCCCAGGATGGAGGATTTGGGGTGGAGGGCATTTGCTAAAACAAGCCTGGGCTTTTGGTCAAGACCTGGTTGAGTGCGGGAGGAGGAACATTCAGGTTCTGACCACGAGGTGAGTCAGGATCTCTGGGTGATTCTCTCTCCTCCCTCCTACCAGCTCTCCTTCATACATATACCATGGTGCCAAAGCCTCGTAGTTCTTGAGTGGGACCTGAGGGGGCTTTCCGCAATTAGAAAGAAAACCCTAAGATGCAAATACCCGTGGAAATAAAAAGCAGAGATGAACTCTTACTAAGAATGGATTTTGAAGGAGGAGGGACAAAGAGCACACTG